AGGGGAATCTCCCACTGGCTCTGCATCTTCCCCGAGGCTAGAGGCTCTGTGGGACATGGTAGAATGCCAGCCTGTATGGTAGGTAGTGGTGGAAAGTCGTCTGTGCAAGAAGATGGGGAATCCTGCTCGCTGTCTGAGCTTAATTCATCAAAGGGGTGTGGAATCTCATTTTCCTCTTCATCACCATCATTGTTCTTACTCTCTGAGTCACCATCACTGCTAACGGTGCCACAACTTCTCACCCGAGGTAGAGGTACAACATCATCATCATCGCTAGAATTGCTGTCACAACTGCTACTTCTACTGCTCACATTCTCATTCTCACTTTCGCATGTAGCAGGCTGAGGATCAAGCGTAATTTGCCACACTACTTTGTTTATCTCCCACATCTTCCTCCTGACGGGACTGAATTGTTGATGACAAGAATATTGATAACACTTAATTCATCTGTTTTTTTTTAATAGTAAAGAGTTAATACTACATTTCTGATATTTTTGGTTTCAAATCTAGAGGCTTACTAGGCTGCCGCAAAGAGCTTTTGTCCACAAAGTCATCATGCTCATCAAATTGTTGTTCTCCTTTGCCTCCTCATTTTGTTTCATCTCTTCTTCCATCACAGGGTTCAGTTCCCGTGCAGGCTTGGCAACATGGGGACTGGGTGTAGGCTGGAAGGGTGAAGGCTGGACGGGTGATGGCTGGACGGGTGTAGGCTGGACGGGTGTAGGCTGGACGGGTGATGGCTGGACGGGTGTAGGCTGGAAGGCTGAAGGCTGTTTGGCATTGCCGTTCGTACTCCTCATATCGTGCGCTCCGACCCAAATCATCTGGCTCTTTCTGCTGCTCCTCAGCCCTAAACAGACAGAGAGACGCATGCATGTGTGGGAGTGTGGCGGGGTTAACACATCTTTAATACGTAACAGACCACCACAGCAAGAAATCGCCACCGCTACAAGGTTGACTTGCTCATGCAGTCTATTCATAAAGAATGTCAGGTAATTTCACATCTCCAATGCAGTTTGTATAGGAGTTTTATAACCAGGTTATTTTAGAATCTCTAGTATCATGTAGTATAATGTAAAGTTCACTTGTACCAAGAATGTGTGCAAAACAGCTATAATTTGAGGCACTTGAAGAGTTTTCTGCTTTTTCTCATCAAGCTTTTAGAACTAATACTACACCTCTTGTTTAAATGATAATGTTTTGGTAGTACATCATATTCTACACTAACTGCTAGACCGACAGTACACACCGATGAAAAACAGAGGCCCATAGGTTAACCAGTTGATATTGTGTAAGTCACCTTCATTTTCATTGCCCCACTTGACCGGATGTCTAGTTTGAACCCAATGTCTTGCCTCAAACAGCAGGAATCATTGGGTCTGTGGCTCTATCCCGTATGTGTGGTGCGGCACTCGCTTCAAACCATGACATTTTAATGAGGCTACTCTTTAGTCACCATCCTGTCGACTGTCGGGCTGCGATGCGGAACAGACGGTCCGGTGGGAACGGGGACGCTTATGATAACGGAGACGTCACGGGAGCTCCGGGCGGCCGGTGAGCAGATGGTGTACATTAACATTATGCAGCGGGTCCATGGCCGCACAGCAGCCCGACACTACTACGATGAGATCAGGACTAGAACTTCAACCATAGGCCTATCCAATTTAGGCAAAGACTGTAATAACTTTTAACATGACACTGTAGGCATGGCGGACAACAAAACAGCCTGTATAGAAGCTACAGGTCAAAAACTTGAGGATGAACTCTAATTTATATATATATTATATATAATATATGTTAGATTTGTAGCTGCAGTGAGAATGTCATAGCCCTATTTCAATGAGTAAATACCACTTAACACTTTCTACATTGTGGCTGTTTTAAAGTGAGGAAATACTGAACATGTATTAATTGATTACCAGCATGTATAATTGCATTTCTAACTTCATATTAATGTTTTAAACCTGATCTATAAAGCAACAGTAAGTAATAATTAAATACATGTTATACTACTTGCCAACTCTTAATAAAGGGACTTTATTAGACAGCAGCACCTTGACGATTTATGAGACCAACCATAATCATATGTCTGTTTTTTTTCTAATCTCACAATCCATAATTCCATAATCAGATGTATTTAGCCTCACATTGATGTACTGTCTGTCCTGCCTGCTTGTTTCGCCTATATGTGCTCTGTATATTTGTCTTGTTGCTGTTTTCCATTTTCATGTGTATGTTATGTGCCTCAGTGTTGTATATGTGCTTGTAGGCTACTGTAGGTGGGTTTGTTCTGCCTGCCTGTTATGTCTGCTCTAGTGTCGTACACTTTTATTTTGCTTATATGTGTATGGGTTTTGTCTGTACGTTACTGTCTGGTTATCTATGAATTTTAATTCCATTTGTATTTGAAATTTTGTAATTTTAGGCTGCCTTCAAACATCTGGCCGGGGACATCAGATGGAAACTACTCTCTGGCTCACTTACAGGTCCACTGTTGATTGGTGTGCATTGTCCCTGCAAAATAAACAAATAAAAACATTCAGAGAAATGAAAATGAGGTGATACCAAAATTAAGAACAAAATAATGCAGCTGTATTAGCTTGCAAAGGTAGTAGCATATATGAGACTGTATTAAGGGAAAACACACTACAGTTAGTTAGCGATGAAATTACTTTCACAGACGACTTTTGAGGACCCATTTACAGCGTTTTTATGTTACAATGGCCCAGACCTTCTGTGCGTGTCGAGCCTCACCGATGACTTGGTTTGTTGTCTGGTGCCCTGCAGTCTTTATTCATCTGTCTCTCAGGTGAACTATGTCCTCCGCCAAGCTCCTCCTTGGCCTCATTTACTCTTCCCCAGATGCTTTTGCAGACACGATCAAAGTTGTCGTGCGGAACGTGTGGGTGAATCCAGGTGGAGCGCGGAAACGGTGCAAAGGCACTCACGAAGTGTTTCGGGGTCGCTAACTCGCGAGGATTTCCTGATGGCATCATTTTCACTGTGTTTTTCACACGCACGGGCTTGTCAATGGGCTCTGTCACTCTTCACAGCGTCCGATTGCGTATTTGTGAAGCAGCTTTTTGAAAGGAAACATTAGCTGGTGGATGTGATCTTGGCAGGTTGTCATAGCAGCTAGTTGGGATTCGAGAATGATAATTCAACGACAGCGGTTTTAGTCAGTTGAGGGTTATATTGCATAATCTCATTATTGTGCTCATGCAGATGTATTCTGCTACGTGTGAGGTCGTTCTTCGGTGCTGCTTAAACGCGGTTAACGCTCGTGAACTCGTGCAATGCAAATTCCGCGCACCAAACCGTCAACTTGTTGCATTACACAACTTAAAATAATTAAAATTGAATCAGGGAAATCGAGATGTGGAAACAGCTGATGGCTCGCCTTCAAAGTAAAGGTTGCGCGCTTTCAAACGTGTTTGCTCCAGCGACCAATTTGTGGAAAGCAAAAATTAAAGAAACAAACCAATATTCTAAATAATGAACATAATATATAACGGTCATAAAGCCATATTTCTGTCACTTTCCCACAGTTTACCGTGAATACACTGCCAATTGGCGCAAACATTGAATTATCTATATGTAATGATTAATTATATTATTTATTTATTTAAATAAAGGCTTCTCAAACTATTTAGGTGAATGCTATAGTGTTGACACTTGTGATACCTTGAACTTTGACTGTATTGCTGTATTAGTGCTCCTTCCCATCTTCAAACATTATTTCAGACTCTTTTGTCATCTATTATTTATGTTGTACTAATCATTATTATTGCTGCTTCCTTGTTGTATAACCTTTAATTTTTTCAGTGTAGGCTACACAGAGACACTGCACACATGGAAAGCAAAATTAAGTTGTGCAATAACGTTATGAGAGAAAAATTTGATCTGCTGGTTCTATGACCTCAGTATTTGTCCCTAAATGGAGGTACCAAAGCTTGTCAAAGCACAACAAGTTTCATGCTGTATAGTCGATCAGTTGTAGGAAAGTGGCAGAAATATGACTTTGTAACAGTTCTATAGTATGTTCATTTTTCATGCTATTTGACTATTTATTCAATTTAGCTCTCCTAAAATTGATCGCTAAATTAATTTATTTCGAAGGCTAGTTGTCTCTGTTTCCGGCTCTCGACTTTTTAACTCAAATTACATTTTTCAAGTAATGTAACGAGCTTATTGGTGCGCTGAATTGCATTGCACGTTTTCATTCAATGCGACAATATCAAAGATCGAACTAACACATAGCATAATACGTTTGCATGAGCACAAGTAAATTAGGCAATACCCCTAAACTGACACTGGCAAATTAATTATACTTCATGCATGAACCCCTTTCCTATAACAAACCAATCCCTCACATTAGTCTAAATAATGCCGAATCTATGAACAACCTGACCAGGAGGTGCATGAGCAGACCAGGGTTGGCAAAGTTTAATGTAATGTTGCGGGAAGACTATTTATGATCCCCCATCTTAAATGTAGGGTCGAAGGCCAACGCGCATTTCATTATCTCGACTGTTTCCACGCACGGCGCATTGCGGAAAACTAATTATACCGGTCATATGCAGAAGTGGAAATGACATTCAAATTTACGGTCGAGGGTTCCAGCCTGTTAAGCATCAATTTCACGTCTAGTGAGCAGGAAGTGGACATCTATGTTAAACTGCCGGGCAGTCCCATGATTGGTCTTAATGGATGGAGACAATAGCCTCGTTGTGGACCCCTATATTTTATCATAACACATTGGTACATGGTGGATTTAATGCGGAATATTGTATTGTTGTTATTATTATTATCATTATTATTACCATTATTGTTATTGTATCGTTTTTAATTATAATGGAGGAATATTTATCTAACAGAAAAACAAATGTGTTTAGCTTGAAAAGTCGATTATCTTGAGTTTATCTTTATTACAAATGTGAAAGAGTGGGAGAGAGAGAGAGAGAGAGAGAGAGAGAGAGAGAGAGAGAGAGAGAGAGAGAAGGTCTGCAGTCTGATTCTTGGCGTCGCACAGACCCGAGACGACGCTGTGGCCAAGCGCTGCGATACTGGGAATACATACTGATCATTTCTCTCTATACAGTCAGATCACTGACTACTGACTACGTTGGTTGAGAACTTCTCGAACGAGGCGATTTTTGTCTTGGATTTGGATAACCTGTGTGGCTCTCAATCATTCAGCGTTGGTTCCTGTGAATCTCGGTCTAATGACGAGTTTAAACGTGGATTACCGGCACCGCAAATGTTGTTGCTAAAAGGAGACACAATCAAGAGAAGGACAAATAAGTGCTGCGGGACGACCTGAAGGAGAAATCTCCTGTGTTTTTGACGTCTGGTAATATCAATTACATATGTGGAGCGGACGAGGGATTTCCGTGATTTTTTTTTTACGCGTGCTGGGTAGATCAGTGACCACTTGAATCACGTCTCCCCCGCGGTTTGCCTTCCCTCCTTTCTCTCCCTTTAGGTGTGAAATCTATCCTCTCAGATAAGAAACTCTGAACCCCTCGGTCCCCGCATGACATGGTTCAGTCCAGCTGCGATATCCGAGCCTCCTCCATGCATTGGGATTTTTCTCAGCGCCGACACCGAGTGAATCTCCCTTTTTTGACCATCTGAGAAGTATCGTGCCTGCCAGACCAGAGAAAAAGCCCTGCCATGACCGCCGCTTCAAATCGGGACGGAGCAACTGGACTTGCGAGAGAACCGGAATGCGCATGCAGGAAAGGGGACGGAATACGGATTTTTTCGCTAATGAAGGCGGGAGTGCAGGCGCACCATTGGAGCCGGGTGCTGTTCTTATACATGGGGCTACTGGCCGCCTCAGTAAAGGGTAAGTCCCCCATCTGTACCGCTGAAGACCTGCAAAATACAGCAGGTTTATCACACTCCACCGCCCACCCTCCACAATCCCTCACTGAATGCAAATGAGCATCAGCAACACACACGCGCACTCATCCTAAAAGCGCATTTAGAACCTTGCTGCGATGTCGTTGTGCGAGAACCCAAAGTTATTAATAGAGGAGAGGTGGCTGGTCGGGTGGCTATTTTGGTGACAGCGGTTCCTCTGGAATTGCAACTGAGCCTCTGTCTTACCTTGACTCTGTTGCTGCATTTCATTGCAGGACTGTGTGAGGTGTTTTCTGAGGAAATGAGGGTGGATTTAATGAGCTGTGGGGATGAATAAATAAACATTGTGTGATTCCTGCTACCAGTAAAGGATATTTTACAGGTACAGAGAAACCTTAGGTTGTGTTAGGTAGTCAATCAGGATGCTTATCATTATGCTGTCCAGAGTCCAAAAGAGAGAGAGAGTGTGTGTGTGTGTGTGTGTGTGTGTGTGTGTGTGTGAGGAGAGTGAATGAATGGGGTGCTATTTTCTTTTCCTTCTCAGTTTCCAACCTCACACCCTATCAGAACTCCCACGTGCCCAAGTGCCCTATACATCAATTAATACCATGTTGTGTTCTATCTCTCTCTCTTTCTCTCTCTGTGTGTGTGTGTGTGTGTGTGTGTGTGTGTGTGTGTAGGCTACACCGTGTGCGCGAGTTTGCGCATGTGTGTGTTTGGCGGGTTAGGCCTAATTAACTGACTCTGGAGTTTCTGTCCTCGGTTATAATTGCAAATGGAAATCGTGCAACCGGAGCTGGGCATTCAACAGATTATCATTACTATTCATTTACTTTCACGTCTTCGCAACATAATGGGTTTGTGAAAGGAGAGACTCGGTTACTGATTCATGTTTTTTTTTTTTCTGTGGACATTCATGAAGAAGAAGAAAAAAAGCCTGTGGCTTTATTTAGAGCCCATTGCTTTTCGGGGAAGAGCCACACGAATGTTTGCCATCCTGAGCATGTTCTTTGGCAAAGAAAGCCAACCGTTGTATCACTGTCTTGGCTCCACACCACAGAATATGCACTATTTTTAGAAAAAGGCAAGAATACTGCCACGGCCACAATATGAATTTGACAGTGAGTCATGGCGCTGTGTTCGCCCACATGTACCTTTTGGTTGGACAGCACATACTCCAAGAGTGAGAGAAAACTGGGCACATTTTCAGCATCACCAAAGCACAGTTTGCGGTGTCGTCTCATGCTGCATAAGTGTGGTTTGAGCTTGATCATTACTATTCCAACAGAAGCGTCATCCCTCATGTCTCCCACCAACTACCTCCCACGTGTCACCCACTTTTGATCAAACTTGTATCATCAACCGTGCACCCAGATGGTTTCAGTGAGATGTAGGTTTATCACACACAGCTCAGTGCCAATGATACTGACAAATCTCTCTCGACTTTCATGTGGAGTAAATCTCATTGCGGCTATATTCGTCGGAGGCTTCTTGTTTTATTTGCGTCCGGGGAGCTTTTTATTGCCCACTCCCTTGCCGTTTGAGTCTACTCTCGGAGCCAGTAAAGCGACTCTAACTTATTGCACATATTTACAAAGAGGAATAGCTGGACTATCTATCTCGCCCTCTGTTACAACGTTTACTTTAAACTGTGTCCATAAATACGTTTAAATACCACACGCCGGCGTTGAGGTGGTCTAGCGCGTCCCCCCGGTGCTTCTGCAGCCACCAGCAATTGCCCCATCCTCCCATTGAGCGGCACCAGAGCTTCACGCTATGCTGAGAGGCGGAGTGGAGAGGGAAGAGAAGACCCGGGCTTCGTGGCATTTTCCAACCCGCAGACTTTATCAAACCAAAGCAAGACTTGCCAATTAATGACCAACAGTGGCCAACAGATACATGTGATGTGGGATGCGGCATAAAAAAGGCTGTGTTTCATAAGCACCGTGTCTCAGATGTATAATAGTGCTTTAGTAGGTGTCTTCATTTGTTAACCGGTCTCACTTTAAACCGTGTTCAGCCTCCCTTGCAACACAATTACCATTCCCAAGGGCCACATAGAAAAATATAGACATATGTGGAAGGTTTTAACAGAGATATTGAAGAGAGTAGCGTGCGCTGTCTCCATGCGATCAAAACCAGCTGTCCCAGCGGACTCGTCGCTCAATAAACGGTAATCAACCTCTATTCATTTAATCGTGCAGAGAAGGGATTGCGAGGGCCGGGTGAGAGGAGGAGGAGGAGGAGGAGGACAGAGAAGCCAGGTTGAAGATGACATGCCTATCTGGTGCATGTCTCGACTCTCCACGCCAACTCGACCGGTATTAGATCATTCGTCAGCGGCGCATAAGACAGTCGCTCAGCATGTCCACTTACACGCAAGATCACGCGTCGTCGTCTTCCCCTTCTCTGCCACGCTCTCCTTACAAAGGCACCGGGTTGTGCTCATGATGCAACTTGCAGTAATGTTATGACTGGAGGGCCCGATGCCCCTTTCCTTTTTATCTTTTTCGCTTCATGACATCTGCTTATATTCTCATGATGCTCCCGAAGAAAGAGACAGGGCGAAAGCGTGTCTGCGCGTGCGCGTATGTGCGTGCGCAGACGGGCGAAAGCGTGTCTGTGCGTGCGCGTATGTGCGTGCGCAGACGGGCGAAAGCGTGTCTGTGCGTGCGCGTATGTGCGTGCGCAGATGTTTTGGGGATAAGGAGGGCACAGGCGCATGTGGGCGGGCGCGCATTAGTTTCCAGGCAATAAAACAGTGAGAGAAACCCTGGAATTAAGTCGTTTTTGAAGTTGCACAAATCCAAAAAAAAAAATGCCAAACTCATACTTGCACTTTTTCATTATACATACCTCCAGGCACATAAAACTAACTGATACCATTTTAATTGGGAACACCTATTTGGAAACACTTTTAGAAATGAAGTATCTAATATCTTCACTTCACGTCAGAATACAATGAGAGATGAGAGTAGAATCTATTAGTTTCGATTTACTTTCTCATACACTTTTACTGCAGCTTTGGTGTATTGAAATACAATTAGTAATGGGCTAATTTAGCGGGAGCTTTCAGTAACAAATGAGATCACCACAAACTCACCATAGAGTGACACTTTCAGCACCCTGGGCAGGGACAGGCGCGCCTGAATTCGCCGCGCAGCTGAAGTTCTCTTCAGCACCAGGGACAGCTCCACCAGCCAGCAGCCTCAGCAACAGCTGCTCCTCAGTGGAGGGCTAGCTGGCTCTTCAAATTGGGATTTCTCCAATGTTTTCATGGCTTTGGAACCTCAATTAGACACAGGCTCCAGACCCCTGATTGACAAGATCATATTGCAAGGTTTCTGCTGTTCATTTTGTAGTGAATTAAGTAACTTTTCTACGTTTTAGGCATTGTGAAAGTGAATTCTAGACGAAGAGCAGTCATATTCCTACATTATGTCTTTGCTAAAAAATATCAGACATGAAAGTAATCTTCAACTAATTTGATTAAGTCATTGTGAGGTAAAAAAAAATGCCCAACATGATGTAGTTCAAGCTTAGAAGATATAGAAGATTAGCTACAGTATATCTTTGGATTTTGGACTGTTGGTTTGACTAAACAAGCAGTTTGAAGATGTCAACTTCTCCTTATTGGAATTCTGATTTTATCCTCAACCAAGGATTAACGTGGATCACAAACAGCACATTGTAAACCACCATCATAGAGACATCGTGTTGCATGTTTGGTAGATATTGGCTCAAGATATGTGGAAGCTATAATAGAGCTGGTCTAGGAGTTTTGTGAACACACTTGATCACACCTCTCCATGTAAGTCCAACCAACTTAGCAAACACAGAGTACCGTGTGTCTTATGTTGTTCATACTATGTTTTCATGATGAATATATGGGCTTCTCCCTTCCCTTTTGTTCCTCACTTCTCTCCCACATGTCTGCCTACTACTCTCAATCTCAAATCCTCCACTATACCTGCACGCTCTGCTGCGTCCCATCTCCCATCTGCTCTCTACATTCACCGTTGAGCAATAAAGGACGGAATGGGAGCTGAGAAACAGATGATATCTATTTACTCGACACAGAAAAAAATAAACGTCTGGAATGCAAAGTAGATGAGTATTGCCACTCTGCCACTTACGCATTGTCTACTTGAGTGAAGGAGAGAGAACTTTGGAGTGGGATGGAGAGTGGTGGTCAAGATGAAGATGGAGATCATAAAGAGGTTTCAAAGGGAGGGAACAAAACGACAAAACAGAAGGACGGAATCAACTGTGAGGGGAAATGAGAGGCAGAGAGGGAAGACGAGTGTTGGAGTAGAGGGGCGATAAGCTTCCACAAGCTGAGAGAAAATCCGGGCCCTGCCTTTTGAGCGCTGGGTGATTTTCTATTTGGAAGGCTAATTTTCTTATCAGGCATCAAGCTGACTCGTATTACAACAACTAATAGCGTGCAAGTAAGCTCGTGGGCACGTGTGTGTGTGTGTATGTTTGGATGAGTCTATGAGTTGCCACCCTATTTCGCTCTGAGATGATCAGGCTGTTGACAAGCAGGTCATTAGCTATAGCTCAACGGGCCACAGAGAGACGTAATGTGTGTGCATGTCCATGCGTTCGTCCTTGTGTTTCACCCACCTGCTGATGTCATCCTGCTCCTCTCTCTGTCTTCCCCTCGTACCTTTTCCCTCATGTCCTCCTTCCCTCCCATCCATCCCGCCCCCTCCGCTTTCTTCCTCCATCCTTCTCTCTGGTGATTCAAGCTGTCATCTGTCTCCAGATGGCCAGAGCTCTGTCACTGTGCTTCGTCACACTTTTCACAGCCACACAGTGACTCACACATACACACACACACACACACACACACACACACACACCACACACTAAGTCACTAATTTATGCAGACTTTCCCACAAACAAAAACAACAAATCCTGAATGCATTCATGCAGCTGCGCACACACACACACACACACACACACACACACACACAC